GGTTTCGGATTCATGGAGGACGGTTTCAGGTGCTCTGATGGTGGGCCTGTTTAGAGTTCTGCCCCACTGTTTTGTTTGGTATTCACATTAATCTTTTTTGGGGCCATGCGGGTGGGGGAGCTCGTTAGTCCATCCAAGGCGATCCCTGGGGGATTGTTTTTTGGTGATGTTTTAAACGAGGTTGGAGCAGTGCCTTTTTTGGTGTGTTCTTGGCCAGGGTACTTGGGTCATGTTACAGCACATCCCTGGCTCGGTATTTTGTCCAGTTGCCTGTTTTCATGCATTCTGCGAGGTTTGCCCCATGTGCCCAGACCCCTTGCTGGTTCACAGTTTTTCAGGGTTTTCCGCATGGCATTGGAGGCCTTGGGGTTACCTAGTGCAGAGTTTGGGGGGTACTCCTTTTGGATAGGGGCTGCCACTGAGGTGTCACTACTGGGGTTTTCTGATGAGGTTATCCAATGGATTGGAAGGTGGGAATCTAGGAAGTTCTGTTTTTATGTTCGTCCAGTTGGACTAATTCAGTCCCCCCTTTTGTCTCCGTAGGTGCCGGAAGGTGAGTGTGGGTCATCGGCCATTCCTACGTTTATTAGGCACAACAGTGGGCTTAAGTGCAGCTTGGTCTGTCACCAGCGGTGGCAGAGGTCCGTTGGCTCATCTACTCGCCATTCCTAATGTGCTCATAATTCATTTGGGGGGAAATGATCTTGGCACTATTCCGGTGTGGGATCTGGGTGAAATGACCCAAAAGGATTTTGTCGAGTTATGGGTCAAGTTCCCAAAACTCTTTATTGTCTGGTCCGAGGTGCTATCCCAGAATTATTTTAGGGGTGCGAGGGACCCCAGAGCACTTGAGCGGAGCAGGATTACGCTAAACAAGAGGGTGTCAAAATTTGTGAAAGGAATGGGGGGGACTTATGGTGTGTCACCACATCTTCAAGCAAAATGCAGCAATGTATTTTAGGGGTGATGGGGTCCACCTTACGGAGGTTGGACTTGACTTATTTAATTTGGCGTTACAGGATGCGTTGGAGAAAGCCATGGCTTTGGTGTTGGGGCAGCCCCGCTTATTTAGGGGGTAAACCATCGGGGCTTGTGGCGGTATATGGCCCTTGTCAACCATGTTCTGGCCCCTTACTTTCTGCATGGAGTGCTGCTTCTTCCCACCTCACTCAGACCCAGTTGTATAGGGGGGAGGGGACTGAAAGATGTGAGGAGGCTGTGGACCAGAAGTGAAGCAAGCCCTAACTCCCAACAGTGCCAGCCAGTAGGTTGGCTAAATTTTTTTACCTGTATGTTTTTCTGTATCTGTATCTACGTAGTTTTTGTATCTGTATGTGTGTATCTGTTTGTGTGTCAGTGTGTGAATCTGTATATGTGACAGTGTTTATATCTGTGTTCTGTAACTGTATGTGTGTCAGCGGGTGTATATGTGTTGTTTTCATGAGTCACTGTGTGTATCAGTGTGTTTGTGCAAATGCATGTTTGGCAGTGTTTGTTTATGGTGGCAGTGTTTGAATTCGTGTATCTTTGTGTGATTCCATGTGTGTCTTTATCTGTTTGTAAGTCAGTGTTTGTATCTCTGTATCTGTATACAGGGCTGCCATCAGAAATTTTGGGGCCCCTGACACAGCTCAAGGTCTGGGCCCCCCGGTGCCTGCACCCGAGTCCGTCCCCCCCCCCCCTGAGTCCACCCACAGGGATGCAGTGTCTGCAGGGCCGGTGCAAGGATTTTTGCCGCCCTAGGCAAAAGTAAAGTTTGCCGCCCCCCATGTGACATCACAATGCCCCACCCATATTATCTGCCATGTTAACTAACACAGTGCTGCCATGTTTACAATAAAAGGCCTGCAGGGACAGGCTATAGACACCAGAACCACTACATTAAGCTGCAGTGGTTCTGGGGACTATAGTGTCCCTTGAATGTGAGGTAAATTAGAGATTAGTGCCACGAATAATATACTAGATTGCCTACTTACAACCAGATGAGGATGATGATGGGCTCTAGCTGCCGTCTGGCTCCACTGGTCTGGTGTACAACAGGCTCTCTGGAGGCGGTTTGTAACTGTGGTCACAAAAATCACTGTTCTGGGAGAACGGGAAGCAGCTCCATTTTTTGAGGGCCCTTTACACAGCTCAAGGTCTGGGTCCCAGGGTCCACCTTTATGTTTCACCAATGAGTTTGTTCACAGGGGTGTGTGTGTGGGGGGGGGATGTCCTGATGTGTATAAGGAATGCATTGTGTGAATCTGTGTTTGTATGGGATGCAAGGTGAGTTTGTGTATGTATGGGATGCAGTGTGTGCGTCTGTAAGGGATGCACTGAGTGTGTGTAAGGGGTGCATTGTGTGTTGCTGTGTGTAAGGGATGCATTGCTTGTGTATGTGTCTGTGTGTAATGCATTGCGTGTTTTTCTGTGTGCAAGGGGTGCATTGTGTGTGTGTGTGATGGATGTCAATCTCTCCCCCTACCCCTGTCAATTTCCTTCTTCCCCCCCTCCAATTTCCTCCTTCTCCCCCTCCCTCTCATTGCCTTCTCCCCCCTCCAATTTCCTTCTTCTCCCCCTCCCTCTCATTTCCTTCTCTCCCCCCTCCAATTTCCTTCCTCTCCCTCGTCCCTCAAATTTCCTTCCCCTGCCATGTCCCTCAAATTTCCTTCCTCTCCCCGTCCCTCAAATTTCCTTCCTCTCCCCCGTCCCTCAAATTTCCTTCCTCTCTCCCTCCCTCAAATTTCCTTCCTCTCTCCCTTCCTCAAATTTCCTTCCTCTCTCCCTGCCTCAAATTTCCTTCCTCTCCCCCCTCCCTCCCTCAAATTCCATTCCTCTCCCCCCTCAAATTCCATTCCTCTCCCCCCTCCCTCAAATTTCCTTCCCTCTCCCCTCCCTCAAATTTCCTTCCCTCTCATCCCCCCCCTCAAATTTTCAGCCTCTCCTCCCCTCCCTCAAATTTCCTTCCTCCCCCCTCAGGTTTCCTCCCTTCCCTCTCCCCCTCAAATTTCCTTCCTCTCCCCCCCCCCTCAAATTTCCTCCTTCTTTCCCCCCCTCAGAGTTCCTACCTCCTCCCCTCCCTCAAAATTTCCTTCCTCCCCTTCAATTCCTCCTTCCTCCCCCCCAATTTTCCTTCCTCTCCCCCCCTTCAAATTTCCTCCTTCCCTCTCCCCCCCACTCCAAATTTCCTCCCTTCCTCTCCCCCACTCCCTCAAATTTCTTCCCTCCCTCTCCCCCACTCAATTTCTTCCCCATAGTTTATTCCTCCCTCCCCCCTCAATTTCTTCCCTCCTCTCTCCCCCACTCAATTTTCTTCCCTCCCTCTCCCCCCCCTCAATTTTATTCCCTCCCTCTCCCCACCCCCCACTCACTCAAATTTTCTCCTGACACCCGGCGGCGGGGAGACACTCTGGGTGCTTCCTCTTCAGCTCCCTCGCGCGCCGCGTACTGATGCCGGAGCCGGAAGATGACGTCATCTTCCGGCTCCGGCATCAGTACGGTGCGCGAGGGAGCTGAAGAGGAAGCACCCAGAGAGTGCTCCCTCGCGCGCCCACCGGGTGTCAGCAGGGCCAGCCTCTGGGGGGCCCTGAGGTGGCCAGCTCCTGGGCCCCCCAGGAGAAGAGGCTGGCCCTGTGGGTACATACCAGGTCGCAGGGCCCCCTGCAACCCGGTATGTACCCACTGAATGTGGGGCCCGGACGACCTGAGCAGTCCGGGCCCCCCAGGACCGCCGGGCCCATGACAACCGTTGCGGTTGTCATGCCCTGATGGCGGCCCTGCAAGTTCACTCACTAGCAGGCACACACACATAAGCTCACTCACGAGAATTCACACACATATGCTCATTCACTAGCAGGCACACACACACACACACACAAGCTCACTCACTAGCAGGCACACACACACATTAGCAGGCACAAACACACACACAAGCTCACTCACTAGCAGGCACACACACAATCTCACTCACTAGTAGACACACACACACACACAATCATTGCACTTGCACTGTCAGGTGAAGTTGCCATTTTCCTGCCAGCGAGGTCAGCAGCATGCGTGGGGGCAGAGCTTGCGTATGGCAGGTGGGGTTTCCATTCAGGAGGCGGGGATTGTGTGCAGGGCGGGGCATGCTGCCAAAATTGCTATTAATTGTGCAGGGAGACTAACCAACCTCTGGCTGCGGGCAGCCTAATTGTGGCCGCACCAGCCCCAGCTCCTCCCTCTTTACTCCCCTCTGTCTGACACAGGCTGGCACAGTCCGAGGGGAAAATCGTTTAAATTACATGGTTCTGATGATTTGGGCTGT